CGGGGTGGCGCCCCAACTCCCCAATCGGCCCTGCTCTGAGCCTGACCAGGGGCTGCACCTAGGGATTGGTCCTGCCCTCTGCCACCTGGGAGCAGGCCTAAGCCAGCACGTCGTTATCTCCCGAGGGGTCCCAGACTGCGAGGGCACAGGCCGGGCTGAGGGACCCCCCCGTCCCCCGAGTGCACAAATTTTTGTGCCCCGGGCCTCTACTCTATAATAATGAAAGCGTAATTAGACCAGACATCATTCCGGACGACCTTCCGGAGGAAGCCAGAGCTGCGAGGGAAGCCCAGGTCTCAGTAAAGGCCGAGTCCCAGTGTGTGCCTGCCAGCTGCCAGAGGGAAGCCGGTGCTGGCAGCCAGGGAAAGGAAGGCCTACTCCTGCACAAATTTCATGCATCTGATTTCTAGTAAAATTATAAACTTCTAGAAAATCACATAGCAAAAATTATGTATTACAATCCAAGGTCTAGGAAAAGTTAAAGTAAAAATAAAAATAAAAGTCTTATTATACACTATGGAATCAAAGAAAATTAAAATAACTATGAAGTAGCTCTAAAAACTTAAATCTCAGTGAAAATTATCTGCAAATGTGTGAATAACTTACATACTTTTAAAAACATAACCTGTATTAAAACATATAGTTTTGGCTTGTTTCTTCAGCCATTCCCCAAACATGTGGATTATTCTCTTTAATTAGGTTGAGCAGTGTTTATCCTAGTGGTTCTCAACCTTGGCTGCACATTAGACTCACCTGGGAATCTTTTTAAATCCTGATTTCTGGGCCTCATCCTCTGGAAATTCTGTTTCTTTGTTAATGGGGTGAGGCCACAACATTAGTAACAAAGAAACAGAATTTCTGGAGGATGAGGCCCAGAAATCAGGATTTAAAAAGATTCCCAGGTGAGTCTAATGTGCAGACAAGGTTGAGAACCACTGGTTTATCCTGTTATCCTCGCAAGTATTTTGGTTAGAATCTTATTCAACTACTGCACCTACTTAGCAAAACACTCCTCTAATTGAAATATATTCTGAACTCATCATCACACTCGTGCATCCATATTCATCTCTCTCTCTCTCTCTCTCTCTTTCTCTCACTCACACACACACACACACACACACACACACACACACACACACACAACTAACTACTAAGTACCTAACCAGTACTGCCCCCCATCCATGATCGGAGAATCAGGCGCCTTTGCCACCCTGGCCAGTGATAGCAGGAAGTAGGGCTGGAGTCAGCGATGGGAGCTGGGCACGGTCGAAGTGGGCAGTCCCAGGAGCTAGGGGTCCCTTGCCTGGGCCTAAAGCGAAGCCCACGATCACGGGGCCGCTGCAGCTGCGGTCCCCGCTGCCTGGGCCCGACGCCTAGGCCAGAGGGGTTAGGCCTGGGCAGGGGCGGAGCCTGCAACTGCGGGGAGCTGGGGGTCCCCTGCCCAGGCCTGACACCTCTGCCGGAGGCCTCAGGCCTGGTCAAGGGGCTAATCCGGTGATTGGTGATCAGAGGGTGATGAGGGTCAACTCCTCTGGCCGAGGCATCAGGCCTGGGCGGGGGGCGGAGCCGGGTATTGGGGGGATATAGTGGTCCCCTTGCCCAGGCCTGATGCCTCGGCCAGAGGCATAGACCCCCATCATCCTCTGATCGCCTGATCGGCCCCTTGCCCAGGCCTGATGCCTCGGCCAGAGGCATAGACCCCCATCATCCTCTGATCGCCTGATCGGCCCCTTGCCCAGGCCTGAAGCCCGGGTCAGAGGCGTCAGGTTGGGCGGGGGGTGGAGCAAATGATCAGAGGGAGATGGAGGTGCCCTGCCCAGGCAATATTCCTGGGCCAGAGGCATCAGGCCTGGGCAAGGGGCCGATCAGGCGATCAGAGGATGATGGGGGTCTATGCCTCTGGCCGAGGCATCAGGCCTGGGCGGGGGGCGGAGCCGGGTATTGGGGGGATATGATGGTCCCCTTGCCCAGGCCTGATGCCTCGGCCAGAGGCATAGACCCCCATCATCCTCTGATCGCCTGATCGGCCCCTTGCCCAGGCCTGATGCCTCTGGCCCAGGAATATTGCCTGGGCAGGGCACCTCCATCTCCCTCTGATCATTTGCTCCACCCCCCGCCCAACCTGACGCCTCTGACCCGGGCTTCAGGCCTGGGCAAGGGGCAGAGCCAGCAATCGGAGGGGCCTGGGCTGGGGGCAGAACCAGTATGGGGGGAAATGAGGGTCCCCTGCCCAGCCTCACATCCTGGGCCAGAGGCATCAGGCCTGGGCAAGGGACCAATCCTGCGATTGGAGATTGATGGGGGTCAACGCCTGAGGGCTCCCAGTATGTGAGAGGGGGCAGGCTGGGCTGAGGGACACTCCTCCCCACCCCCACCCAGTGCACGAATTTCGTGCACCGGGCCCCTAGTTTCTAATAAAATGTAGTTTTAAACCTTGGAAATAATCTGTCCAACCAAAGTGTAGTAAGTTTTTAAAGCTCACTTATATTTTTAGAGTAATCTGCTTATTATAGGAAATTTATAAAATACAGAAAAGTAAAGGTTAAGTATCTATCACACCAGAGATTCTTAATATTTTAGTTATTTCTTCCATCTTTTCCCATGACATTCTTTTTCTTTACACTGTTATAATTAAAATCTATACCGTTTTGTATCTGTTTCTTACTTGAATGA